AATGGTTGTACCATTTTACAGTCCCACCAGCAGTGTATGAGAGTCCCAATCTCTCCACAACCTCGCCAGCATTTGTTATTTTCTGTCTTATTGAACTTTGATTCCTAATTCTTTTTATGTAATTGTTTAACTCTTGGAACCTTTTTGTACCTTTACTTTATACCTGGTGTTTTGAAATTTCACATGACCTGGAATCTCACTCCATCAGTGGTAACCATTCTCCTACTGTTCCTTTTACTGTTTCCTCTGCTCTTCTCTCTTCTAGAAGTCTAAGAGTCACATACTAGACCTCCTAGATTAATCCTGCATGATTCTTTGTTGTTGCCCCCATTTTTCCTCATAAATTTGCTTGTTTTACTTTTGGGAGACTATTTTGTCTTCTTACCTATTTAACATGCTTTTTTGACTACTCTCTTTTTATATCATTTTGTTCTTACTACTTGAATGTAATTTCTGTTCTAATTTCCAAGAATACTATAGTTTCAGTCTTTTTTCCTGTTCTCTGCAAATTCCTATTTTCTTTATTTTGGATTTTCACTTTCATTTTAGAAATTCCCTTCAAATATCTAGTGATCCTTGGTTGATGGTTTATATTTAAGAGTAAGGAATGGAAAAAGGTCTAAAAGAAACTCTACATGTGGGTAGAGGGGGCAGACTGATGGGCTTCCTATAAGATGACTGGTTGAGAATTGGGCCATTTTACTGAGGAAACCAAAATGTTAACGTCTTTAGGCCTTTTCTTTTGGGCTATTCCGTTTTCTCCAGGGAAGAATCCTTTCTCCTATCTGAGATGTCTAAACCTGGCTGTCAACAGTAGGGAGGAAGTGGAGGAAAGGGCTATGGTTCTAGCCATCAAGCACAGACTTCGACTTAGTCTCCCTCTCTTCAGGCCACACCCCTCCCTGCTCTCTGATTCCTATGACCTTGAATTTAAACACTGTTTTAATGTAAGAGACTATACCTCCCATCTTGTATGTGTGTATTCCTAAGCATTTTAACCCTTCCCTTTGGTAGAACCTGATTCTTCCAAATCCTGACCATTTTTTGGCTCAGCATGAAGAAATGGCTTCCTGATTATTGCCATCTCCCATTATGAGCATTAAGATGTAGCATTTTCTGACTTGAGTTGGTCACTACTATATTCACTTTTCATCTTTAAAAGGTTTTTGATATCTCTCAATTATAATAGTTTACTCCATCATCTTGGTCTTTTTGAGTTGATGCTATTTCAATTACTGTACAGTCATTTCACTGGGGTCAGGAGGGAGAGGTGATGAATGTCTGAACTGAATCTACCATGATTCACCAACACTTCCAGAAGAATGGTTGTGATTAAAGATGGCTATGATATCTTCAGGGCAAGCAATTATTGAGCATTAAATATGTAATATTAGTAATATTAATATACAATATTAATATGTAAGTGAAATATAGGGATGAGCTTTATTAAACTGAGTTTTGAAAATGAGAATATCTGTCTGCGTGTAAAAAAACACAACTAAAATATTATTCTACTTTCTTAGCTTAGTAGTTACAGAATACTAAACATGTAACTTTACTTTTGCTATTTTAGAACTCAGCAGTGATCTGGGATTATCATAACAAATATAAATTTTCTTTGTATGATAATCAAAAGTATGGAGGACAGAATATTTTGTGGAATGCATATAAACCATCAAAACTTTCAAGTTAATGTAAAATAAGCAAAATCTCCAAAAGAAGTATTTTAAAAATTCTCTTTTAAAAGTGAACTATAGAAATCGTTTGCACAATTCTGCCTTGATTTTAATCTAAAAACATAATGTACAATCCAGTGCTACATCCTACCAATTAACCCACTATGCCCACAGAATAAATCAGCCTCTAAATTAGACTGCATTTACTCTGAGGTGTCTAATATTGTTGTTGTTAGGTGCCATTGAGTTGTTTTCTGTAGTGACCCTATGCATAGCAGAATGAAACACTGCCTGGTCCTGTGCCAGCCTCACGATCCTTGCTATACCTGAACCCATTGCTGAAGCCACTGTGTCAATCCATCTCATTGAGGGCCTTCCCCTTCTTCATTGACTCTCCACTTTACCAAGCATGATATCCTTCTCCAGGGAATGGTGCCTCCTGACAACATGACCAAAGTAGGTGAGACGAAGTCTGACCATTCTTGCTTCCAAGGAGCATTCCAGCTGCATTTCTTCCAGGGGAGATCTGTTCTTTTAGCAGTCCATGGTACTTTTAGCATTCTTCTCAAACACCATAACTCAAAAGCATCAACTCTTCTTCGGTCTTCCTTATTCATTGCCCAGCTCTCACAGCATAAGAAGGAAACGAAAATACCATGGCTTGGGTTAGGCTCACCTTAGTCTTTAAGGAGACATCTTTGTTCTTCATCACCTAAAAGAGGTCCTTTGCAGAAGATTTGCCCAATGTAATACATCGCCTGCGTCCTGACTGCTGCTTCCATTGGTGTTGACTATAGAACCAAGTAACATGAAGTCCTTGAAAACGTCAATCTTTTTTCTATCCATTATGAAGCAAATTGTGAGGCTTTTTGTTTTCTTTATATTGAGGTGTAATCCATACTGCACACTGTAGCCTTTAATCTTCATCAGTAAGTGCTTCAAGTGATCCTCACTTTCAGCAAGCAAAGTTGTGTCATGTGCATATCGCAGGTTGTTAATGAGTCTTCCTCCAATCCTGATATCGCTTTCTTCTTCATATAATAATCCAGCTTCTCAGATTATTTGCTCAGCATGCAAACTGAATAAGTAATATGAAAGGATACAACCCTGACTCACTCCCTTCCTGATTTTAAACCATGCACTATCCCCTTGTTCTGTTCAAACAACAGCTTCCTGATCTATGTACAGGTTCCTCATGAGTACAATCAAGTGTTCTGGAATTCCCATTCTTCTCAATGTCATCCTTCTAATAAATTCATTACTAAATCAATGCTGTGTAAGCTAAACAGAATTTAGCCATCTTTTAATTAAAGCTTCCAGAGTAAAGTTTCATAAATCAGTGTGGGTTCAGGTGGGGGAGCAATATATTGAAAGAATATAACTGATTAATTCAATCCAATTTTCAAACACTTTTATTAAATTAGAAAAAAAGCTACCTGAATCGCTCTTGTCCTGCTGTATCCCATATCTGTAACTTTACATATTTACCGCCAACATTTATTATCTTTGAACCAAATTCCACTCCTATTGTATGATTTGAGTCATCTTTGACTAAAAAAGAAAAACAAGAACAAGATACTTAATTTTAGAACATTAAGGAAACATGTTTACAGATTTAAATAAGTAAAACTGAAATTAAGAGTTAAGTCAATGGAAAACAATTTACTTTAGTCATTTGTTTGGACCATCAGTTGATAACAAAAGCATTTCTGTTTCAAATAGAATACATAGTTCCTACTCTCAAAGAGACAATAAAACTTTGCCTCAAAACTCCCAAAATAAATCACACATTTCATGGCCTATGCTTTGAGGCAGTGAGGCCATATCAGAACCAAATCCAACTGTCCACTGTTATGGTATTCACAAACGGGGAATATATAATATACCAGCTATCCTGAAAGGGCTAAGTGCCCAGTAACAGATCTGCAACTCAGTCAGTAATGAGGTTGTGATATAACAAATATTTAAATGGATAAATATTCTAAAGAAATTAAAGGAAGGAAAGGTACTATAGATGCCCCCCCCCCCAAAAAAAAAACCTTGATGGATACCAAAGACTACTAAGGGAAAAGGAAAACAAAGAGTCAACCAAAAAAAAAAAAAAAAAAAAATTTGCATATTATAAATGCTGAATTTTCGTAAGAGTTAGTATTGTACAGCTATAATAATGAATTATTGGAGAAATCAGTACTATCTGTTTGAATAAGCTAGCAGGCAGGCAAAGAAAGTAGAATGGTAAATTCAATTTAAGCTCTCTGTAAAAGGAAATTCCTGGCATGATAAAAGGATAAACTAGAATAAAATATCATAGTTAGAATCTGTATATTGACTAGCTTCTACTTTATAATTGTAGGACAGCATTTAAATCTAACAGAAATCAAGGATGCCATTTCACCACTGCATTTGTTGTTTTCTGGAGGAGTAAAAGGGAAGAAAGACTCCCTAGGTGCTGCAAATGGTTAATGTGCTTGACTGCTAACCAAAAAGCTGGAGACTGAAGTCCACCCAGAAGCCTCTTGAAGAAAGGTCTGGCAATCTACTTCTGAAAAAATCAGCCACCGAAAACCCTATGAAGCACACTTCTACTGTGACACACATGGGGTCATCATGAGTTGGAGTTGAACTGACAGCGAATGATTGTTGTTGTTGAAGTACCAGTCTGCTTCATGACTGGGCAATACAGAACTAGTGTATACATCCCATTTGAATTAAGCTACCATGCAAAACATGGAATACAATTCTCCAAAAAGAGATATGTAAAGGCCAAGGTTACCTTGATTACAACATGGCCACAATAAGAACACCTAAGACTAGCCAAAACATGCATACTAAGCTTGATCAGGAAAAATTAAAGGAATGCTATCAAAGGGAGTGGAGCCTTAATGGTGCAATGGTTAAGCGCGCAGCTGTTAACCAAAAGGTCAGTGGTTCAAATCTACCAGTGGCTCCGCTAGAGATAAGACCTGATGACCTGTTCCCATAAAGATAATAGCCCTGGAAACCCTATGGGGCAGCTCTACTCTGTGCTATGAGTTGGAATCAAATCGACAGCACACAACATTAAAGGGAGAGTTTTTCATAGAGTAGAGAATGATTAAGCAAATTGATTATTTGGCTCATTATCCTTAGGGCATTGTTTTCTGAGGCTGTACAATGCAAAGTCTTGACAAATTGAAAAGAAACCTGGACCACCCAGTGAATGAATACTTGTTAAATTCAATAAGGAATGGTTCTATCACTAACACATGTTAGGTCTGTCTCACTAAACAGAGGCTCCAACAAGCTTTTGGTTGATGAAAATGAAAGTAGCAGAATAAATTTCTAGAATTCCATTCTTTAAAACTCATTGTCAACATATCTTATTCTGTCTTTTTAGTCACTACCTAGGTATTTTATGCATATTTACCTAAGAGGAACGTCATTAAATCAAACTATACTTCACCCAGCTGATACTACAACAGGTCATTCTCTACAATTCTTTCCATCATTATAAAAACACTATCTATTTTAAGGGCCTTTAAAACCAATAGTCTTTTCCATTTTGCAAAGCTCTCATATAGTCTGAAATAAATAATTCAACCTTCTTTACCAAAACAGTACAAGTCAGTAGAAAAAGATTGGTTCTGTGGTTAAAAGATCTGGGTTTTAACCAACCTACCCATTACTGGTAACTATTCCAAGAATATACAATTTCTCTAACCCTGTTTTCTTACCTGTAAGAAAGGATTGGTGACAAAAAGTGCCTTAATACCAGACTACTACAAGGACCAAAATATTTTATCCAAAATGTACCACTAGGGTTTCTCTGGTCTCTCCCTGCCAGGAAATGTATTTCTTGTCAAGTAATTCCTCTGTTTCTCTGTTGTTGTTGTTGTTGTTATTTGCCGTTGAGTCGGCCCCGACTCATAGCGACCCCTCCTTGGGTTTTCGAGGCAGTATCACTACGGAAGTAGGATTGCCCAACCTTCCTTCCGAGGAGTGGCTGGTGGGTTTGAACCGCCAGCCTTCTGGTTAGCAGTCAAGTGCCTTAGGCACTATGCTACCAGAGCTCCCTCTGTTTCTCTAGCATACACATATTATCCTTTGTTGTTGTTGTTATGTGCCCTGGAGTAGGACCTGACTCATAGTGATCCCTCCTTGGGTTTCCGAGGTAGAATCACTATGGAAGTATATTGCCTATCCTTCCTTCTGAGGAGTGGCTCATGAGTTTGAACCGCCAGCCTTCTAATTAGCAGTCAAGTGCCTTAGGCACTATGCTACCAGAGCTCCTAATATTATCCTCTAGCATCTGTAAAATGTGCATTATTATTAACTATGTGTTGAAAACTGAAGTACTATAATATTAAAATGCTAACTTAAAGAAACCTCAGCTTTATTGCTAAAAGTTTAATAGCATAAACCTTTCATGTTATTTAAAAATACTTTGAAAATATGATTTTTTTCTTTAAATATTCAGAAGCTTTGCTGTTAACAAATCTGAGCAAGAAAGAAGCGCATTCTCAGAATAAGACATGCAAGAAAGACTAATCATGTAATGTCACTTACATTTTTTTTCAATAAACTGATGAAGTAAGCAAGACTTGCCAGTTCCTGCATTTCCAATAACCAAGAACTTAAACAAAAAATCTGAAAGATAAAAAGAGACTCTGTAAAATAACTCTAAAACAGTTACTATGAATTTATCCTTAGACTATGATCGTAAAATTTAAGGCAATCTTAGCTGTTAATGTAACAAAATAAATAAATAAATAAATAAAAGAGGTAATCAAATATTTTGTGAAAATGACAAATGTTGTTGTTAGTTGCTGTCAAGTCGATTCTGACTCATGGTGACTCCATGTGTGCAGAGCAGAACTGCTCCATAGGGTTTCCATGGATGTGACCTTTTGGAAGCAGATCTCCAAGGCTGTCTTCTGAGGGGCTTCTGGGTGTGTCTGAACCACTAAGCTTTTGGCTAGTGGTCCAGTGTTTAACCATCTGTACCACCCATGGACTCTGAAAATGACAATTAACAGGTTCAATTACCTTTTCACATTGATTTTTTTTTTTTTTTAAATATTTGGCTTACTTTCAAATTGAGAGGTTTTTCAAACTGTGCTAGTGGGACAATTTGCTTTGAAGATGAAAGTTTGAAAACAACTCTTTTAAGCAAACAATATTTATCCATTTTCTAGCTACCCTTTAAAGAAATATGGTCTCTCTGGGTAGCACAAATAGTTTGCTCTCAGCTACTAACTGGAAGGTTGGTGGTTGGAACCCACCCAGTGAGTTGCAGAAGAAATGACCTGGCAATCTATTTCTGTAAAAAGCATAGCCAAGAAAACTCTATGGGGTCACCCTGAGTCAGAACTGACTTGATGACAACGGTAAGAAATATGCTTACCCAACGACAAGCAAAATTAGCCTTGAAATGTCAAGTGTTTTCTGTACCAAAGGGAAAATCTGATAGACTTATAAGAAATCTACTTCTCTCTCCTTTTTAAAATTAGGAATAAGTTTCCTCCACATTTGCAGATTTTAATGTTTTTGCCTCTATTTCCTCCATCTATGTATGACTTGTGGGAAGGGGTGCTTAAGTTAAGTTTCAGGCAGTATTTCAAACGTGAATTTGTCTGATTCAGTGAAAAAGCTTTGCATATCTTCTTTCCAAATAGCAAGGTATTTAATTTGGGATATTATTTTCCATAAAGTGAGAATAAACTATTTCCTAAATGGAATTTGCTAATTAGCATAATGTAGCATACATAACCCCACATTGCTCTGGATGATTTACTTTGCTTTTTCTGTAAGCAAAGGCCTTTAGTTCTGCTTTGTTAGGAGCTATGGACCACCAATTCTCTAGTCCTTTCACTCCTACTGCTTTGAGTTCATTCCCTCACAATTTAATCTTGACCCAACCACCTGTTAAGCCACATGTTTTCCTACTCATTTTGTAGCCCCAAAGATCTTGCTCCATACTCTTACTGACCAAATACCTCGTTCTTTAATTTGCACATTTGAAAGTGTCACCTCATCACTACTTTTCCAAATCTATAAACCAAGCACTCCCTAGCTCTGGCTACCTTTTCTCCCCTAACTAAACCTCAATAGTCTAATTCTTTGCTGACACTTGACCTAGCTATACCTTAAAGACTACATTCATCAATACTCAACGATTAAGCCTATTCAACGTCTCATGATTTCCAAATAGTTATAGAAAATTAAACTTATAGAAGAATAATGATATTAGAATTATGTCAACATTTAAAAATACCTATAGGTTTATGCTTTTGCATCTTTAAACACATTTCCCTTTGAAAATTAATCATTGGCTTTTACCACAGATAACTTCTGCATTCAAATTTAACTAATCATATGGACAATGAACTCTCCCAGCTAAGATATGAACAACTACAAAACAAATGACTCTAGAACATGGTATCATTGCAGTGCTTGAAAAAACAGCATCCCAACCCAAGATTCACAGGATTCCCATATATACACCTCATTGAAGATGAGCTCAAAAGGTAAAATTCCAAAACATTCAGGGTAAAAATCGTGAGTCAGCAATCAACAAACTTTGATTTCAAGAATTTGAATTAAAAAATCGGGTTTTAAAAGCATGCGAATGGCCATCTAAGATACAACTATTGATCTCTATTCCTTCAGAACAAAGAGAAAAAAGGAAGCCGTAGACTTAAAGAACAAATTAGTCTTCGTAGACTAACACTCTACACGAACCAAGGTTTCTTCCAACCTGAGACCAGAAGAACTAAATGGTGTCTGGATACCACTACCAACTATACTAATCAAGTCATAAAAGATAGACCCTGATAGAATGGGAGAAAAATATGGAACAGATGTCAAATTCCTAAAAACTAATAAAACAAATCCAGACTGACAGGACTGGCCGAGACTGGAGAATTTCACCTGCCTGAGATGAACCAACACTAGCCTGAAGTCAACTTTTACTTAAATAACAGATTGGTGTACAAAATAAAGAATATCACATGGGAAACTAGATGAATGGAAATAGAACCACCAGAATAGAAATATTGAGAATATTCTCATATCGTGAAGAATGTAACCAGTGTCACTGAATAATGTGTAAAAATTATTGAATGGGAACCTAAACTGACGTTTAAACTTTCACCAAAACACAATAAAATATATATTTAAAAAAATAATAATTTGATTAAAAAATTCTGATGATACCTAAATTATAACCATCACTTATCTGTCAGTGTTTCATTCTGTGGTGGCTTACATGTTGCTATGATGCTGGAAGCTATGCTACTGGTACTTCAAATACAAGCAGTGTCACCCATGGTGGACAGGTTTCAGTGGAGAAACCTTAAGACAGACTAGGATGAAGGACTTGGTGATCTATTTCTGAAAAAAACTGGCCAGTGAAAACCTTAGGAATAGCAACAGAACACTGTCTGATACAACACTGGAAGATGAGCCCCTTTGGGTGGAAGACACTCAAAATACAGCGGTAGAAGAGCTGCCTCCTCAAAGTAGAGTTAACTTTAATGATGTGGATGGAGTAAAGCATTCAGGACCTTCACTTGGTGATTTGGCACAACTCAAAATCAGAAAAAACAGTTGCAAACATCCATTAGTAACGCTGTTGCTGTTGTTGTAATGTGCCGTCGAGTCAGACCCGACTAATAGCGACCCCTCCTTGGGTTTCAGAGGCAGTAGCACTTGACTGCTATCCAGAAAGCTGGCGGTTCAAACCCACCAGCCACTCCTCGGAAGGAAGGTTGGGCAATCCTTCTCCGTAGTGATACTGCCTCGGAAACCCAAGGAGGGGTCGCTATGAGTCGGTCCAACTTGACGGCACATAACAACAACAACAACAACATCACTATGGGAGTAGATTGCCCTATCTTCCTTCTGAGGAGTGGCTGGTGGATTTGAACTGCCAGCCTTCTGGTTAGCAGTCAAGTGCCTTAGGCAGTAATAGGAATGTGGAATGGACAAAGTATGAAACTAGGAAAACTGGAAGTTGTCAAAATGAAATGCAATGGCTGCACATAGATATCCCAGGCAATAGTGAGTTAAAATGGACTGATACTAGCCATTTTGAGTTGGACAATCATATGGTCTTTGTTGTTGTTGTTGTTATGTGCCATCAAGTCGGACTTGACTCATAGCAACCCCTCTTTGGGTTTCCAAGGCAGTATCACTACTGGAAACGACCAACTGAAGAATAATGATGTTGCATTCATTGCCAAAAATAACATTTCAACATCTTTCTAAAGTATAATGCTGTCAGTGATAGGATAATATTCATACATCTACCAAGAAGGCTAGTTAATAGGACATTCAGATTTATACATGAACCACTGAGGTCGAAGATGAAACTGAAGATTTTTACCAATTTCTGCACTCCGAAGTTGATCAAACATGCCATCAAGAAGGATCAGTGATTGGCTAATATGGCCTTGGTAACAGAAACAACATCAGAGATCACACAATAGAATTTTGTAAGAAGAAGGACCTATTCTTTGGAAATGCCTTTTTCCAGCAACATAAACTGGGGCATAAACATGGATCTTGTCAGATGGAATATACAGGAATCTAATCAACTATATCTGTGGAATATATATGATAGAGAAGCTCAGTATTACTAGTCAGAACAAGTCCAGGGCCAACTGTGAAATAGACCATCAATTGCTCATATGCTACTTCAAGTTAAAGCTGAAGAAAATTAGAACAAGTCCATGAGAGTCAAAGTAAGATCTTGAGATATCCCATCTGAATTTACTGACCATTGCAAGAATAGATTTGATGTGTTGGACACTAATGACCAGTGAGAGGACATCATACATTAAGAAAATAAAAGGTCGTTAGAAAAGACCAAAATGGATGTCAGAAGAGACTGAAACTTGTACTTTAACACAGAATAGCTAATATGAATGGAAGAAATGAAGAACTGAACAAAAGATTCCAAAGGACAGCTCAATGAGACAAAGTAAAATAGTGTGATTAAATGTGCAAAGACCTAGAGTTAGAAAACTAAAAGGAAAGAATATACTCAGCATTTCTCAAGGAAAAAATAACTGAAGAAAAAACTCAAGACTTGACTTGCAATGTTGAAGAATTCTCTGAGGAAAAGAATGAATGACACAGGAAGTATCAAAAGAAGATGGAAGCAATACAAAGAGTCACAGTACCAAAAGGAATTGGTTGATGTTCAACCATTTCAGGAGGCAGCACATGATGAAGACCTGATGGCACTGAAGGAAGAAGTATAAGATACAACGAGGCACTGGCAAAAAACAAGGCTCCAGAAATTGACAGAATATCGATTTGGATTTACAACTATGCATGCAACACTGGAAGCACTCACTCATCTATGTCAAGAAATTTGGAAGACAGCTACCTGCCAATCAACTGGAATAAATTCATACCTATGCTGTTCCAAAGAAAGGTGATCCAACAGAATGCAATTGACGGTACATAACAACAACAACATCATTAATATAGCACAAATGTAAAATGGTGAACATAATTCGAAAACAGTTACAGTAGTACATTTATAGGGAACTGTCAGAAATTCAAGCTGGATTCAGAAGAGGTCACGGAAACAGGGATATCGCTGCTACTGATAGATGGAAGGTGGCAGAGAATATCAGA